TCAAAGGCTAGACTTAAGCAATCCTCTGACAAAACCAGAAAGAAATTTCTGCATTGACTTTCTATTAAAAATACACTGTAACATTCTAATGTCCTGTATATTTAGCTCAGAATGGCATTATGCAGCAGTTTTGGACTTTGACAACTACACTTCTGTGTTGGTCATTCTGCACACAGCTCACAGATATTTAATTGTATCAAATTTGCAAATCAGTAGGTAATATGTATACTGTTATAAGCAGGGCTCGAAAGGGTGGAACTCAGCCCACCTAACTCCAGGAGACAATGCTGGAGGTGACCTAACTGTGTAAGCTCTTTCTCCAGACAACAGAGCTCTGTTCCCAATGGAATTTAGGGCAAACCCCTGCAGCAAAGCCCTACATTTAGTCAGAAGAGCAGTGCTTTAATCTCCCCAGATTAGACCTCTACTGGTATCACAGTGGAATCCTACATATCTTCAAAGGTAAATGCCTAGAGTGAACAGTGGTGAATACTGACCTGTTATCAAAATGACACCAAGGGGCAGGGCCACGTGTGGAATGATATTGTCCTAAGCCTGGCTTAATGTACTTTTAATGTACTTCTGTTCCAAATGCAATGCAGCTGAGTGTTCCAACCAAACAGCATTCCTTTCTACTGTCATGTTTTGTCAGTTTTGAAAAGGAAAAATTATTACATATAATAATAGCACCTATGCTGAAGTTCACTATATGAAACAAACATGTCCATAGCTGAAAATGATTTTTTCATTTTTTTATATCTGTTCACCAATATAAATATTTAATATATGTCCAATATAAATCAAATCTGAAAAATTAGGCTTCTTAGTTAATTTTTTTTTAGTCTGTGTGATCAAATCAACTAACACCACCTCAGATGGAAAGACAACTTATGGATGTGGCACATATGTCCTGCATTGTACTACCTGTGAAACCTTTTAAAGAATTAGTTCTCATATTCACCTGGAATACCCATTGTATTTCAATTACTTGTTTAAAGTCTAATTACATTCTTATGGAGAAGATGAAGAATCCACCTCCATTAAATATAACAGAGAAACTTTGAAGCAACTGTATGTTAGAAACAAGTTTATTTTCATTTTTATTTCTTTAGAGAACTTTCCAGAGAGGGGTTCTGTTAATATCAAAGAATTTTCAGTAAGACTTTTAATAAACTTGATGAATTACTGTTGAATACTAAAATTTACATAATTATTAGAAGGACACTTTGCTAACCAAGTACTATCAAGGCTGCAGCAGGAAAAAATATTTATGTTGCAAGAGCTACTCAAAGCTATAAATACTTTCTGCACAGAAGCTCTTCAGAGCATGTATGTTCAAATACCACAAAACAAATGCAGACTTGCACATCAGAATGTACTCTCAGAATCAGAACCAAACCCTAAACACAAGCCAAACATGAAGTTTCAAATTCCCAACTCCTTAGATTTCCAAGTTTCCTACATATACCAGTCACAGTACAGTATATTTTATAATCCATCTCTCATCAATTTATTGCTGCATTTTATTAGGGTAATTTAAAATTAACAAAGTGACTAGAACCTTATACCACTTCCTGTGACTAGGACATCTATACCTAACCACTTTTATTGAAAATGGAAACTAAAACAGTTCAAACTATCAAAAGAGTTCAACAAAATTCAGCTTGTATGAAAATCATACAAGCAGTGTACCCATAAACAAAGTTCATTAAAATGCAGGGTTGTTTTTCCTGGTAGGATGAAAAATTCCAGCAATTTAACCTGGAAAAAAAAACTATCCCTTTTCCTACTTTAGAGAAATTCTGTAATCTGCAGTGACATTTATTTAGTTGATGTTTAAAAAGAAACAAAACCACAAAGCACCTAGGGTAAAAAAGGGAAGTTGCTCCACTCTGTCATACTTTCAGAATGTAAAGCTCTTAGTACAGGCTCTGATGAGTAATGTTGCATACTAGTATGTTTCTTACACAAGAAACATATTAGTATGCTGGCATTTTTACCTATGACTGCTTTTTTCCCAAACTGGATGGCTCTTGTACATGATTTTATTATACTTTTCTAACAGGTCAGTAAAAGCAGCACATAATGGTGATTTTTTTCCTACTGTCAAGTAGGTAAATCCATTGCAGTAAGATACTCCCTGCCAATAAATGGAAGTGTAGGCATAATTGCCAAGCTTTCCAAGTTGTTTTGGTTGGTTTTTTTACTTTTTATATGTTACGCTTACATGTGACATATTTAAAATACTTAAATGTCTGAAGTTCGCCAGTCCTAGAAACTTATGTTTAAACTACAAATATACAAATCCAAACCAAATAAACCATATCAAAATATTGGAAAAGCAGCATTTCTAAATATTCAAATATAAAATAACAGCCAAAAAGAAAATGGAAACAGAATGAAAAAGGAGTAGAGCTACTGAATCCTTTGGCACAGGCCCTGAGGTTTCTGGGCGTTGCCAGCAACCAGCCATGATCCCAGTGAAGGAGGTTTTGCACGCTTTGTGCAGTGACACGGAACGCATGGGGCCAGAACAAATGTCACTGCAGGGAGAGCAGATTCACAGTGCTCTTCAGCAAAACCTCACTTCTTTTCCATCTAATCTGTCTCTGCACCTTCCTACCTAACCTAAGACAGGCTATGCAATCATGGTCTCAACAAGGACTGATCTGCATGTCTGTGGTGGTTTGACAGGAAATGTTTTCTGGGATACTGTGGTCAGGCCAATTGGTGCTCAGATTTTAATATTGGCACCTAATGTGGCCATTGGGACATTGGATCCGCCTCTGAGAACACGGGGTTAAAAGCAGGGCTCTCCCCTGGGAGGGTCCTTTTGGGTTTCCGGCGGGAAAGAGTTCGGGTCTCTCCCCCGGCCCAGCTGCTGGCTGGGCAGGGAGAGGGGAAAAGCCATGAGGTTGGGAGAGGTAGGCCTGAGCCCGGGGGTGGAAGGGTGGAAGAGAGAAAGAGAGACACTGGGGGCCATCGGGCAGCCCCCCCTGAGAGACAGAGAGAGAGAGAGAGAGAGAGAGAGAGAGAGAGAGAGCGCCGCTGCCTGGGACTGTAACCTTGAGACTGGATAAACATGGGCCTGTGCCGGCAGCACGGCTGGGACGGAGAAGAAGGGGGGGTGCAGCCGGCCGCTTGTAGGAGCTTTTTTCTTTTCGGAGAATGAGAACTTTACAGAACATTGACCTCTCCTAGAAGAGAGATAGAGTGGACGATGAAATGGGCAAGTGTGAGGGAGGTCTGGGCAAGTGAGAGATGTTGGAAGAATACAGAAGAATCTTAGTGGGAAGAGATGATGGAGTGGCTTTTGCTGGACTCTTTTTGTACAGCCATGGACAGAACTGTGTTCCTTGTGATACAGAGACTGCATCTAGGGGGAGGCAATGGCCACAGAACCAAGAGGGTTCACTGTTGGTACCCCTCGGCCCCAGGGGGTGAAAAATATGGGGGGGACAGATGTCCCAAAGTTGAGACTGTGCCTTTTTGGAGTGGGACGAAGCATCCTTAAATATCGACCCTAGAAGCAGCTCTGGTCCATGTTCAGTGGTGAGAGCGCTGGACATGAAAGAGGTCACCATTGGCACAAGAAGGACTCCTTCTCCTCTTGATGAACTGAGGATTGAGTATTCTGAAGGGTGGTGCCAGACCGAGAGTCGAAGATTTGGGGGATGTATTGTATTGGGAATTTGGTGGGGAGGAGGAGATGTATTTGTGAAGTGTTCATTTTCCTTGTGTGTTTCTTTTTTTTTTCCTTTCCCTTGTAGTTTAGTTAATAAATTTTTTTTTCCCTAAGTGGGAGCCTGCTTTGCTTACTCCTGGTCACATCTCACAGCAGAAACCAGGGAGAGGGTATTCTCATGGGGGCACTGGCATTGTGCCAGTGTCAAACCATGACAATGTCACTTGTCTCTTCACACTTAGCATAGCTGGCAGTGCTGACCCCAGCCCCAGGGGCCAGGTAGCTCACATTGCCTCTTGCCCTCAAGGGTACAAAGAGCTTGGTGGAACTCTGACCTCCAGAATACTAATCTAGGAGTATGACACTGAACATTCTAGGCCTGAAACTGCAGGAGTTGTCACAACCATCCCATGACTCAGTGCAATGCTACAGGCTTGGGGCCCTTTCTGAAGGGAAAGCTGCCCTTCAGAAAAGCAGCCGGGGGCAATGGTCTACAGCAGCTGATGAGCCAGCCTGTTCCCAGGTGGCCAAGAAGGCCAATGGCATCCTGGCCTGTATCAGCATTAGTGTGGCCAGCAGGAGCAGGGCAGTGATCGTCCCCCTCTACTCAGCACTGGTGAGGTTGCACCCAAATCCTGGGGTCAGTTTTGAGCCCCTCACTACAAGAAAGACATTGAGGTCCTGGCATATGTCTAGAGAAGGGCAACGGAGCTGGTGAAGGGTCCAGAGCACAAATCTGATGAGGCAGCTGGGAGTGTTTAGGGGTGTTTAACCTGGAGAAAAGAAGGCTCAGGAAGGACCTTATTGCTCTATACAGCATCCTGAAAGGAGATTGGAGTGAGTATAGTGAGGTGGAGGTTGGTCTCTTTCCACAGGTAACAAGGGATAGAACAAGAGGCCATGGCCTCAAGTTGCTCCTGGATAGGTTTAGAGTGGACATGAGGAAAAGTTTTTCACCGGAAAGGTTGCCAGGCTGTCCTGGTGGCATTTAAAAGATGTGTTACTTAGGGACATGGTTCAGTGTTAGCTTATGAGTTGGACTCAATTACTTTAAAGGTCTTTTCTAAGCTAAACAATTCTATCATTCCATTCTGCAACCAGGTAAGATTGATTGGCATACTTTGGTGCCAACTGCCTTGGAAAAAATCAAGCGTTCACCTATAAAAGTACATGCTCTCTGGATGTTTATTCAACTCCAGTTAATCTACATGAGATGTACTGAAGCAAAGCTTCACTAGTCTTTAGTGTGATTTAAATCAATCCTCCCAGAAAGCATGGCTTTGAATTCAGAACAGAATGTTACTTTCAGACTTACCTTTTTCTGTTTTGTCTTGTTCAGTTTCTTTTTCACTTTTCCCTAGAACATTAAAAATATAATTGCATTGAAATAAATTTATGCTAACATTTTATGATAGGAAAGAGATACAAGAAAATTACAATTTATACTCAAAACATAATTGAGTCAACAGGAATTTTTTGTTTCATTTTTATTTTTTAAAATAACCATAGATCATTTTCTGAACTATATAGTTACCTAAAAGGTCTTTCCCTGCAGATGCTTCAAATATGACAATATTGCTTCCATCACAAAACATTTCACAGAATTTCTCCTCTAGATATTTAATAGATTTTGTTGATATACACTTACAATGCAAGCTATTTTGCAAGAAACAAAATCTGTTTACTAATTAAAAGATACTGGAAACACTAACTTAATACACAATACATCTGGTTAAAATGTGAAAAACAAAATCAATCAGGTACTTAAGTCTCATTTTTAGAAGTGACTTGGCCACTTGGAAGCTTTTGTCTTTTTTCAACTTTTAAAACAATGTAACATGTTTTGCAAACATCTGACTGCAGAGGTAGATGTTAACTAAGCATCAGGACAGCCTGTAGCAAAGACAAACTAAATCCTGGACAAAAATAATGTATGTGTATTTCATGAAGGTGGTAGATACAGAAAGATCTTCCCCCCCCACCAAGCCACTTTTTGATCCTGCCCTACTCTATAACATAAAAAGCATCTTGCCTCACAATTCTAATACTGTTATTCTGTTTCCATTTCCATTTCCATTTTTTTTCCAATATGCTTCCAGTATTTCCTCCTAATAAACTTAAAGAACACTAAATAGGGAGGTCTGTTGCCTTTTTAGCTAGTTACTATCCTCTTTAACATATAGTGGTTAATTTTGAGGTATTCTTACATATATAAAAAACATTTTCTTTAATTTCCAAGTAATTTAGAGACACCTCTGAATACTCAGTCTTTACTGCTTTTTAAACTGACTGCTCAGAAGCATTATAGTGTGAATATGACATTTTAAAATGCAGAAAAACATGGCATTTTTTAGTGAAGAAACTGGATTATGCACACACATGAAAGCAAATTTTTTAACACTCTAATTTCACCCTTGACTATAGGCTGACAACCGCTATTCCTGAATGTATGGACACTATAACTCTAATTTATATTCAGTACAAGACAGAATGAGCATTAACTTGATTATATGGTAAATTAAATAAATATGGTCATGCTGAAAGTCATTCACCTCTTCAATTACATCATGAGATCTAGATTGTCAATTAAATTGTAAGAAATGACAAAAGATCTATAGGGTCAATTACATATTAGGAACAATTATTACTGTAGCAGTATATTAATGAAAGCATTGTGCAGTACTTCCTAAAACCCTGGCTTCTGTATTTTTTGGCACATATCATACAATCAATAAAATCGTTATATGTCATCCAAAACACTACATTTTAAAAAGAGCAACAGTGCAACCCCAGATGAAATAATAGGTTAGTTGTACAGTTTTCACACAAACCAGTTCATATACTCATATTTCTATTTTTACCACCTCCCATTACCATGACACATCATGCTAGTTACCCACCCATTTTCCACATATCCTCTCCTTTATCGGCAACACTTGAGATTTTCACCTGACCTGTTCTCTCTACCTCATTCTAGGTCACTGGATAACCTGCTTCCACACCTTGGCCAATCTTGGACATTCATGTTACTTCTGCAACTTCTTTGCCACTACAGCAAGAACAATGTATATGACCTCATCACTCTAAAGCCTGCTCCCATCTCCCATTTCTCATCTGGCTTCACATATCTTTATTCCTGAGACTCATGCAACATAACCTACAGCCCTCTATAGCTATTTATGCACTAGAATCAGTTCTCCAAAATCTCAGACTATTTTCAACCTGTATTCTGCTAGATTAGTTGCCATTGACTTCACCAAAGCCTCTCCAATGATCTTTAAATACTCCCACTTTTCCTCCTATGTAGCTGCTTTTGAAATTCATCACAACTTGATCTTGTTAGCTCTGAAGCTAAGAATTCACACTTCACTAAGAATTCACTTCAGCATCATATTCAGCACATATTGTTTTGTTCCTTCCACACTGATCCCTAGCATATTTCAATGGTGCAAAAGGTTTTAATCATGCTATTTTTGACAAAGGCTTAAAAATGTGCTCTCTCAAAGACAGGGATATGATAATAAATCTTGAGACTATTTTTTCATCAACTTAAACCAACTGTAGCTCAAGCAAACAAACAAAAAAACCTTAGCTTTTCAAACCACTCTCATCCTTTATGCAATGTCTTCATATCCAGCAAAATAATTCAAAGCTGAAAATCACTGACAAAACAGCTTTAGCTAATCTCTGTAGGCTAGGAGTGCTATCAGTATGTAACGAAGGCACCAGGGACTCCCAAGCAGGTTTCTATCAGGAAGAATAAATTTATTTTTCATATTACAACTAAATGTTTGACTGCATATGAGAACAACCCAAGTCACAATTAAAAATGTATTTCAGACCTTGGAGATTTTACAGGAATCTCAATCAACACTATAAATGCACAACACAATTTATTTACAGATATGTAATTTTTGAAACATGTAAAATTACAAATGATGTTCGGTTAAATCATCACATTTTTCAGTATCTTTACTATATGAAATCTTAGCCATTTTCTTTACTTCCTAGAAAGAAGTGCAATGATATGGTACTTTTTCAATTACAGAGAATGTTATAAAGTCACTTAAACTGTAGTAAATTGGCAGTATTAAAATACAACTTTAGTATTCTACTCTTTGCTTACTGCTATTTCTTCCTGTGATTTCAAAAAAAAAAGGAACTGAATCCAAGATTTCATAGATTCACTGACATATAACAAGTGGCTAGGTAGCAATGTGAAAATATTAAGGAAAGGGTAATCTTCTGACTTTTTCTTAAACTACTATTCAGCAATACCAGATCATTAAAGCTATGGAGGTGTCTGAAAACTGAAAAGGTCAAGGAAGATTTTTGCTTTCACAGAAGTGCATGGACCTTATCAGATTTCTGGTTTAAACTATGGACCATAACCATAATATTTTGTATGCAAAACAGATATATTACTTTTCCCAGACATTTGTGTTTGTTAAGAAATGTTATCTCATCCGTTATAAGTTACAAACAGAAATGATGTTTCATGGAAAAAATTCAGGCCTAGCTGGTTGCAGAATGTCAATACTCCAAAAAGACAATCACAACACAATTATAGAAGACACAGACCTTAGCATACTGTCTATTTCCTTCACATAACAGCAGCCAGAAATAAAATTAATTTATTTTACTTGCTACTTGCCCCTTGTAAACAATACTTTCAAATATATTTTTTAATATTCAAATTCACAATTAAAAAAATATTAATCAGTGGCTGAGTCAAATATTTATCCCTATAGCTAATATTTAACACATTTGGGAATAAATAATGACACTAGAACGACAAAGATATTCTTCTGTGTTTTATTGCAGCCAAACATTAAAATGGTTTAAATATACATATTTTTAATAGTCCACTTGACCTTGCTTAGCTTGGCATTTTTTTGTAAACATGAAGCACGTAAAATCACATACCCAGTTACAAAATACTAAAATTCAATCACAGCGTAATATACTCTCACAGTCCCATAATTCTACAAATAGGCTGCCACTGTTATATAAAAAGTCCTCCATTCACCATTCTAAAATAATTCCCAAGATATCTCACAAAATATGGCTTTGTAAAAATTATTGCTCTGCAATTCACAATCACAGGTAATTTTACTAGAATATCCCATCCCAAAACACATCACAGTCTAAGAGTATTATTGCTTTCCTGAAAAGTCTAAAGATATCACTTTGGGACATCTGTATTTGTTGATCAGATGTAACATATGGAGTCTTACTGACATCCCAAGCCCAAAACAAGGGCAAGCATATATGATGCCCCTTTCACTACAAATGTAAGCATCTAAAACCCTTACTTCAAAACAGTGTTACAGAAATTGAAAGTCTTCCTGTAAACCAAAAGGCAACCAGCTGTTAGGGTTACCAAATTGGTTTTTCTTTTTATAAATTTATCTTACTTTACTTCTCCTAAGGTCCTGTAACAGGCTTGGCAACTTCCTAAAATCACAGCAATTATTCCTGAGCCAAAAAGGAACACATGCAAAATATCAAAGAATAAAATATGTCTTTGTAATTGTGGAACAGCAGCACAGAACAGGTAAAAAGCACACCTGTTATATTAAAATTCTAAATCACTCACAGTACCTAAATTTCAGATGTACCATTTTTAAGAGCATTCATAACAGTAGGTCTTAAATTCTGACATCATATTTTTTTAAGGTTGAATTTCCAAGTACTTTTTTAAAATAAAATTTGCAAATCAAGTATTTATGCAAATTTGACTTTTAAAATAATTTACTTTTTAAAATTTAATTTTTCAAATAATTAATAAAGCTTATTAAAGCCAGCTTTTGAGATCATTATATTGGTAGGTGAACCAAAATGGAATAATTTAACTGAATTCAACCTGATTCCAGCAACTCAGTCTTGTTGCAATCTCCACTGACTCTCGGTCAGGCTAGCATCTAGTAGTCTCGAGAAATTTTTGCTTGAAAAAATCAGATGAGCATAAATAAAAAGTGCTAATTCATGCATAACAGGTTTTTGAAAACTCTAATTTTGTAATCTGGCCTTTTACTAGTATGAATTAAACACACATTTTATACCTTGTTAGGGTATTTTAAAAATCACCTGAAATTCATGTCGTTAACTTTTGACATAACATCAGTGCAAAAAGATATATGTCAAACTTCACAGCATAGTGTGTGCCTGATTAGTGTTCTTTAATAAAATGCAATTAGTCTGTATTCTATATCAGCAGTTATGAAACATTTAAAAATTCATAACATCATATGTTTCATTTGACCAAACTGCTCTGTACATACTGTATGAATCCACAACAAAAGATATATATTAAAATCTGAAAAAAATGTACCTGCTGCTATGTTATAAATAGAATATTACCAGTTGCTTAAACAGTACATGAAATGCAGCTCTAAGCTGTAACTTTGTCACAAACACAGAAGAAAAATAATGAATTCACTAAACTTGACCAAGGGAAAAAAAAATATCAGACAGGAATGTAAACTAAACATCCAAGTGTTAAAAATGCTTACTAAAATGACAGTTGGCTAAAACCCATTTACAACATCTTAGTGTTCATTCCCCAAACCCTGAACTGCTTGGTAATTACATCATAAGGTCTATTTCAACCATCTGCTCCCCTTTTGTAGCGTATGGTTAGGACTGGTCCTCCTGATGTAGGGACTTTTCTTTTGAAGCTTTAAGTATCTGAAAAAATAAGGGGAAATCTATATTAAAGGACCAACCAAAACACAACTTCCTCTAAAACAACAACAAAAAAATCTTAAATGCTAAAAAATGCAACTTTGTATCAGACTAGTTAATATGAAAAAGCTATCATTTCTAAGAGCTACTTTATTGAATATTTACAAAGTTGCTGTATAAGGTGGGAAACAAACTTTTAAGTATTTTTCCAGGCAGTAATTTTTTTATCACCATATGGCACTTTATTTACCTTGTAAAGAATATCTAGGCCAGGCCACAAATCCATTTAAATATTTTGATTTTGGTTTTGGTTTGGTTTTTAGTGTTGGTTTCCCTTTGGGTTTTATTTGTTAAAGTCAAAGGCAACCAGAAAAGAGGAGCCAGGGAATGAGGAAGGGTCAAGGTTCTAAAGTGGAAACTTCTCTACATATAAGGGGTTTCAGCAGTTGGTAAAATAAATGTAGAGTTTTAAAAATGGCAAGGATACAAGGCAAAGGGGAGGAGTGAAGCAACACTTAGATATTTTAGATCTAAACACATACAAGCAAATATAGAGAGTAATGGTATCCCCCAAACCTGCAATGTGTCCCTAAAATATGTGTCCAGCAAGTACCACTCTATCACAACCACTGCAATTTATGTGCCAGTGTAAAGCATGATTAGCCAGAAAATCCAAATCAGTAATACTTCAAGCTAGTTTATCAAACCATTAGTTTATAAAGTCCATTGGTTTATAAAAGTGCAGATTATAACAGCAGAAGTATCCTACATCTGGAAGAGAATACTGGCAGTAATTTCAGAAGTAAACTCAGAGAATTGGAAAACCGGACTTACAGGTACCTAAGGACGTACTTGACTAGTATGAACTTTCTTGTGATGTGCCCTGAAGTCAGCAAAAAACTTTTGACTTGCACTCCAGCATATTCAAATCCCACACCCAGTGTTTTCCCTGGTGATATCAGAATGTTCCTAACAGCTAAATTCAATCTCTGAGCTATCTCCTGCTTTCTTTCCAAAAAACTAAGTTCTTATGTTTTAGCTAAAAACCAAACAACTACTCCAAACTTGATACAAACTGGTGCCACCATGCTTCAAATGCAGTTGCATAATTTAAACTACTAAAGAATAAGGAATGCATAGTGACATTCCTGAATTTCTTTTACACTACCTGAAGTTATGTTTGCTACTGCTTAAAGAACAGGAAATATTAGCTTTGAACAACTGCTGAAATAAAATCACAAACAAAGAAGAAAGTCTCCTGACAACAAAATCTCCCATACTGAATCCTCCATCACAAAGAAGATATAAGAGAAAACCAGGAAATGTGAATGTCATAATCTGAGAGGAAAATTTGAGAGATGTTGTTTTCAAAATGAAATATTCAAATTTAAAAAAAAACCCAAGTAAATATACTTAATAGCAGAAGAACTAATAATTTAATATAATTTTATTCGTTGTCAGTAGTTTATGTCCTATGTTTCTTTTGTCAGTTTCCCAAAATGCTACTTGAACTTTATGTGTTGAAACAATAAGATTTTTAGGAAAAGTTATAAATACTGGTTCTTCTGCCTTCAGAGTGGTTCCCAGACAACTACACAAATCATAAGGATTCCTAACTTAGTGCAGTGCTCAGAATTTGTGCTGATCAAATTATTTTTATTTTCTACCTCCTAAACAAAGGATCATGAACATTGTACTACATCTAATAATTACTAGTGTCTTTAATAACTGTAATAACTGTCTTTAAAACACATTTTGATTGATTCTCTTACTTTTTCCCTATGAAGAGAAGAAGAAAAGAATTCCTTCCTTCAAGTGCTGCTGCTATTATGTGTTTCCAAAAGCTGTGCCAGGATATATGTCAAGATAATTTTGTGATTTAAATGGTGTGTTGCACTAATTTTGAAAACAACCACAGGTAAAAAAAAGAATAAATCTAAAAGATTTATTCAGAAATGCCTTCAATTTCCAAGTAGAACAAGCTATTTCTCATTCTAGCAGTGTTTGAAAATGGCAAGGAGTCTCTCAGTATCACAATACGACAAAAGGAGAGTGGATAGCTAGGTTCAATTCTACCATCTTATTTGCAAATACATCTGCAATTAGAGGAGTGATCATTGCCCTCCACTTGGCACTGGTGAGGCTGTATCTCAAATCCTGTGCTCAGTTTTGGGCCCCACACTGCAAGAAGGACACTGAGGTGCTGCAGCTTGTCCAGAGAAGGACAGAGCTGGGGGTGGGTCTGGAGCAAAGTCTCATAAGCTGAGGGAGCTGGGGTTGTTTAGCCTGGAGTCAAGGAGGCTCAGAGGAACCTTACTGCTCTCCATAAATGTCTGAAAAGAGGTTGTAGCCAGGTGAGGGTCAGTCTCTTCTGTCAAGTAGCAAGAGATAGTTTGAGAAAGCAGCATTGACTTGCACCAGGAGAGGTTTGATTGGGTGTGAGGAAAAATTTCTCCCCCAAAAGGGTGGTCAAACATTGGAACAGGCTGCCCAAGGAAGAGGTAGAGTCCCCAGCCTGGAGGCATTTAAAAGATGTGTAGATATGACACTTGGGGACACGGTTTAGTAGTGGACTTGCCAGTTGTAGGTCTAAAGCTGGACTTGACATTAAGGGTCTTTGCCAATCTAAATGATGCTATGATTCGAAATGGCATATTTCAAAATCCATCACCATTATATAAAACACCTAAGTCGTTGGTTTTTTTTGTGAAGGTAGAAAAATTAATTTACAGCTGCAAGACTGAGCCATAAATTACAATACAAAAAACTGATAGAAATATGGTCCAAAACCCCAAGATTTCAACTTGGCACTTCTATGCTGAATTGAAATTTAAAATAGTATCTTTAATTCAAAAATCATCTCAATATCCTCAACTGACATTGTGTGGCGCAAGTATCTACTGTTGAAATTTTGTAATACTTCTTAAGGGCCTTTTTGTTATTTTAACTTTAAACAGCAACCTTTTCTGGGAGAAAACATCTTTTCCTCTTCCCCAGTTCCAACTTAATGCATAACAAACTGAGTGAAGATTACCTTTGCTGAACTTCTTGCCCATACTGTCAAAGATAACTACTGTTTGTTCCTACACTGATTATAAGCTTTGGTTAAGAACACTTCATGTTCATTATGAAACAAAACACTTTCAGTTAATGCATCTATTAAATAATAGCTATGGCTTCAAACTTTCCAACACACCACATGGCTGTTGTGATAAACAGCTTGGAAAGACCTTGCAGACAACACAGTTATGCACCAATAGGAGCATTTCAAACCACCTCAGCTAAGGTTCAGCATACAAACTCAAACATGAACTAAACTATGCCTCCAATCTGTACTGGACAACCACAAAAGGCCTCCTGGATTTTCATCACTTCTCTGGCTACTTTTGGCGTGACTAAGAACCTACAAATACTGTAAGGAAAAAAAACCAATCCAGAACTCTCTGGACACTACATCTCATAAGAGCTCCTGCATAGTACAAAGAATAACTAACCCAGAAAGGGGGTCAGGCTAACCAGCACAAAACAAAAATACAGCTGTTAGAGGTCTTGGATTGCAGGTTCTCTGATATACTGCCCTGAGATACAACTCTGTGTTCCACGCAACACAACTAGTTTGGTACAACCATCAAATTAGCAAACTGCAATAGTTAACTCCAAGAAATGCAACAATATGCAGTTCTTGAATTTAGAAGCCACTTATGTGTGCTAAAAATGGTTTTGGTAAAATCCATGTCTACTACTGTCAGGCAACAGATGGAAGAACTGGAAGTGCTCTTCTTCTTAAAATCAGTTATGCCAAGAAAAATGTGATGGCATGACAAAACAGTCCCTGTTTCCAGATCAGTGCCCAAAGAATGTGCCACAGTCAGATTCCAATAGATCTGACTGACACACAGAGAAGTAACACTGTCATTGTCCATGATAATTGCTCTGGAGAGGAAGCACATGCATATTGAGACCTGAAATTGTTGTATTTCCCTTTCAAAAGTATTCAGTTCTATCTGAAATCATTAAAAATAAATTCTAAATTAAAACTACCTAGTTTATTTGGAATGCTTTTATATAACCCAGTAACTATCATTGGCATTTATCAAGTAAAACAGAAAAATTATTGCTTCTAAACCAAGAAGCAACTTTGACAATAATGATATCCCTTTGCAAAGTAATTTGATTACTAATTTCCATGTAGCTACAGCTTCACTTTAGGAAAAAAACCAAGCATCTAATATTGACTTACCCACTTGAACATCATCTGAATAATCTTCAGCTTTAACAGGTTTTTCTGTAAATAAAAAATGTAAATATAATTCAAACTCAACTGCTTCCCAAATATTTACAAAAAGCCCCCTTTTATTTTTTTTCCCCACAGTGACCTATTAAGACTGCTCTGTAATACTATTTTTACAGAAGTGGGATGCAAATTTCTTCTTTGGCTAATTTTTTCCAAGAGAAAGACTCATACTTAAGTAGGCCAATGAGCCTATTGTAGGACTGCATAGTTTTAAAAACGATATTTCAGATTTCTCAAACTGTACTATCCAAAGCACACATATATCAGTTTCACATGCTACTACAGTATGGGCTTAGAAAACATCCATATATACCTATTATTTTTCTAGCTGTAACTGTGAAATACTTGACTTCAAAATTCAGTTACTTTTTATTTCTATATGTATGTTTAAATTAGACATGTCACACATCACCTAGTGTTACTATTGCTAACAGACTGAAGTCTGCACACATGCTTGGAAGGACACAGGCTCACCAGAAAAACTTAACAATAGCCAGGATGCTGGTTGTAAATAACAGGAAGAATTGAGGAGGGGAAATACATTCTCTGATTTGGGAAGCCCATAAATAAAGAGCTCAAAGCTTAGGATACATTCCACTTGATTCCTTACGTATACCCTCTTTCCTGAGTATGCACACCTGACTGGCTGATGGGAAACAGAGCATAGAAAAGATATTTTCAGTTCCATCATATAACCAAATATGGTCATTTTTATCGGTACCAGTTTTTCTGTAAAAAAGCACTCCTGACTTCTAAAACTGAAGAGTGCTTTCTAAGCCATTAAATATGTCATTAAAAAGCCCAAGATGCTAGATTCCAAGAGCACAGACATATTTGTCCTTGAAAGAGAACAACTGTAGAAAAAACTTATGAATGTATTTTTATTGCAACATAGAATCTTATTCCATAGTATTTATCATTCTCATTTATTAATTTTTAAAGTAGCAAATGCATGGAAAACACAATATACAAACCTGATTCCTCTGGTTCAATGGCCACATCATCTTCTGTTTGCTTACTTTCTATTCCTAGATAGAAAAGAAGTGTTGAAAGTTATTCACTTTACATTCATAATTTTGTTTTTATTTCCCAGCAACTACACAATTTAATTAGTATCAAACAAAAAGGAATACTTAAATTACAAACTAACAAGTTCAGTTAACTGACGAGGAGGAAAAACGGTACTAAATGCATTTCACATCCAAAAGTTTACCTGCTAGAAGTAGGACTTCTACTGCACACACCAGAAGGATTTTAGTTACAATTGTTGTTTGTGTGAAACAATATGTTATCTCTTTTAATCATAAAAGAATGCATTTTTTAAAATTGAAAACCTAAATAAATATAGCATTAAATCCTACACACAGTGCTCAGACTAAACTGTTTAGATCACTTTCCTCTAGCTGACTCAACCAACATCATGTTTGAGAAAAACTTCTTAACAAAATTTTAAACTTCTTAGAGCAGATCTTTAAATTACATTTAACACAGTACTCATTTAAAATTCTTCAAGAACAATACAGCAAACAAAAATTTACAACATAACCTTTCTGAGTAGCCATGTGGGAAATTACCAGAGAGCTCCAATTTGAGCAATGGAATAAGCACTTCATAAAAATGCCATGAAGTTCAACAAGACCAGGGTCAGGGCAACCTCCAAAATCAATGAACACTGGGGGAAGAAGAGATTGAGAGCAACTCTGTGGAGAATGACTTAGATATTCTGGTGGATAAAACACTGGACATGAGCCAAAAGTGTGCACCCCCAGCCCAGAAGGCCAACTGCATCTGTGGATGCATCTAAAGAGGAGTCTGTTCCCAGATCCCCTACAGAGTGCTGCATCCAGCTCTGGAGTTTTTAGTACAAGACAGACATGGACCTGTTAGAACAGGTTCACATGAGGTCCATGAAGATGATCAGAGGGCTGGAGCACCTCTCCTAGGAAGGCAGGCTGACAGGCTGGGACTGTTCAGCCTGGACAAAAGAAGACTCCAGTGAGACCTTACCACAGGTTTCAATAAGGGATCTTGTAAAAGAGATGGAGAGAGATTTTTTTACTCATACCTGTAGCAACAGGACAACAGATTTTGAAGTGAAAAAGAGGAGATAGAGATTGGACATAAGGAGACTTTATATGATGAGTGTGGTGAGACACTGGAACGGGTTGACCTGCGCAGTAGTGGGTGCTCCATCCCTGGAAGTGTTTAAAGTCAGGCTCTGGACAGAGTTTTGAGCAAGCTGACTAAGAATAAGATGTCCCTAGACATGGCAGGGAATTTGAACTAGATGATCTTTAAATATCCCTTCTAATCCAAACTATTCCACTATTCTATTCTCAGCTGTGTTTTTGTTTTGTTTATTTTTTTAAATTATATTAATAAAGTATAAATGGAAGAAAAAAGCTCTTTCAAGCTATAAAATTTCATACCTGAGAGGTCTTTAGCAATATCAAAATCTTCATTAATTTCCTCTATAAGTATAAAAAGGGAAAAAGTGTATAATCAGCTTGGTTTTTTTAAAATCTGTTTTTCAAACATAACTATTTCATCAAAACACTAAGATCACAATTATAAAATATATACCTGGCCCTGTGGCTTCATTCACCCCGTCCTCAACAGCTAAGAATACATTCAATTTGGAGCAATAATGAAGTCAAGCCCTCAAGCAATGGAACTTACACACTACACAAAAGAACAGAGCTAGCAGGTTGACATGTTTACCTGACATTAACAAGCAGACACTTTGATGAATTCCAGGGGAAAAAATACACCTTAAATATTCTTTTCTGCTTCACTAAATAGCTCTTCTATTCATCAGCTAGTTATTTCAATTGTACCTTTTCAACAATTGTTGCCTGGATTATGATAGGATAACTGAAATTTTAAAACCACTTCTTCATCTTTCTAAATACATTCAAGTACTCCCATGTTCTTGCTTTGCAGCATCAACTCCATCTCCTAGACATAGTGAAAACCAACCAAAAAACCTGCATACCTATAAACTTTAAAAGTCTTATTTGGATAAACATGCAATTAATTTGTGAGTCCTAATTTCTTTCTTGAAGCACAACAAAGGAACTCAACAACTTAATGGATTCTACAGAAAAAATAATTTATTTTTGTTTTCTCTTAATATGGCACTTTTTAAATTCATTTGACTGTCCTCTTAAGATTATGATAACAAAGGTGACAAAAAAGATTGTTACCATTTATTTGCACTAGAGAACTTCTTGACTTCCTTCTAAACTAAATGATTGTGGGTTTTTTTCAGTCAGCTGTCTGAGATGACCCTCAAAAGAGCAGGCATTTCAAGACAACAAAGTATACAGAACTCAGAGAGAATACTACAGACAAATAATTTGAACTTACTTCTACTAATTAGACAAAAGTTCCAGCAAGAGGTCTGCATCACAGCAGAGCTAGCACTGACAGCCTGTACATTTTGAATGATCTTCCACACTGGTTGCAGGGTTATCAGGAGGGCTCATTACAAGAAGCAGTGTCTGTGATGAACTACTGTGGTCCAGCTGTCCGCTAAAAGCCTCAGACTCTGTGTCAGCTGAGACCTTCAAGATGAATCCTCAAGGATGGCATATTAGAACAAAGTTTCTCAGTTCACAGTCAAAAATCTGACTTCATAACAATACAGGCTGCAATGAACCTTTGTCATAACTAGTAATGGCATGACTGAAGGTCATACACAGATTGTGTGCTTCAATACATATAAACAGCAAAATTAAATCTATTATCTTTATGCTAATTTGCCTAGAATATTTTTTTTGTGTGTGTATATATATATATAGGTATATACCTGTATCTTGAGTCTCAGTCTGCTTTTCATGTTTTGGTTCTGAAAGGAAAGAAAAATAAAGTTCCTGGGTGGTTGATATGCACAAAGTATTCTAAAAATTTGGTTAAACATACAGTTATTTTGTTAATGACAAAAGCAAAAGCATTAAAAAAAACTTTCCCTGGTTTGAGGGCCTGAATAGATACATGAAGCCTTTCTGGAGCTTGTAGTAGAAATTCTACATTAAAAACCCCAAACCATATGTGTACATATAGCTGAAATTTCAAGACCTTCTATCACACAGATGAAATGTTGAAAACAATTACAACAAATCTATCATTCTGTACAGTTGCTGCAATTCTTCTACATTCTTAATCTTTGCATAGATTTAATCTTTGCACAGTCTAATTTTTGTAATTCTGAAGAAGAAACAGATCAAGAATATTCATTATTTAATTTTAGATAATGTCTGAAAATAGACAAAATGCTATCCATTATCTGAATTTTCAATATACACTTACTGTGAATTTCAGACTGAAAAAGGTTTGTTCAGTTTGGATAATGTAATCATCTAACAGGTACTAATCCTCATCTGAAAAAGGCCATTTACATAACATTAAAAAAACCAAAAAAACCCCCCACCTTTATATTATCGTTGTATCATTTAAGATATTGTTGTATGTTACTAATTGTTGTGTGGCTCTCCCCATACTCCTTTGAAAAAGAGTTCTTATAGAATATCCTTAAAAAAACATTCAGAACTCTTTCTTTCTAATGAAAATCTCAAGGTTGCTTTTTTCTCTAGTTTCATGGCCAGAAAATGTAGGAAACTCTTCATAAAACTGGAAGTTATGTACAATGACTGAGTTCTTGTATTCCAAATGCTATGATCAATCATTTACACACTCCACTGTGGGCACTTATTTCCACTAAAGAATTTTTAACATTAGCAGTAACCTCAGTGATGTGATTACAGCGATCCTATTAGAGCAGTTCCTGATCTGAATTAAGAACCAAGCCTCACAAAGCCAGAGTCACAAAAGAAATTGGACTGCTCTGGCCAGCAATCATCTTGCACTGTCTTTAGCTTTGAGAACTCTAGAAAGCACCAGGATTGAAGAAAATATTTCACCAGAAGATCTTGCCAGAAGAGGGGAAGCATGTGATAGAAATGGGGAAGAGAAATTGACTCAAAGCAGTACTGCTGATTTCACAGACAACTGCATCTAAAGGCTTTAATGTGAATCTTCTTGTGGGGTTCAACTGCAGTTTTGGAGGCCATGCCAAAACCACAATCTTCACATTTGAGAGGAAGGATTTCAGATCTCCACAATGGCCTTCAAGCATTCTTTCACTTCAGAAAAATGGAACCAAAATCTCTCTTCTCCAAAAACAAAGTGAATCTGTTTCACTTTCAATCCAACCAAAACCATGTCAAAAGGTACAAGAAAGATAGGCCTAGAGACAAAAGGGATGAAAAACAGGTGCAACTGCTAAAATGGTGTCTAGCACATGAACATGCCCAGAAACTCCATGGACTGAACTCAGACTGAATTGAGAAGGAAAAAAAAATGGTGTGTGACAGAAAGGCAGCCTCATCTCACTGGTCTTTTTTTTTTCTCCACTGCTCCAGGCTGGAGCTCTGAAATGAAATTCCTCTAAAAAGTACAAAGGACGCATTGTGCTTTCTCTCACAACCAGAATACCTTCAAGGTGGAACTTGAAAGCAAGGTAAAATTATGTTGTGAAAAGGCAAATTTTATCAAGAGGAAAGCAGTTTTCCATGGATTATGTTGAACTGTGGAAATAATCTACTACATAAAGAAGCTTGACAATTTAATAGCCAAGAATAATAGTTTTATTGCAGTCACATGCTACCTTACAATTTCCTTTTGAGAAAAAGAATGGAAGTTCCTATTCTCCTTATTGTTCAAATCAGAGGACTGGCAAGAATAAAGAAAGTGTAGGGGGATTTATCTGACACTATTTAAAACTCTCATTACAGTCCAGAGAGGCACTGCTGCTTCCTGAAGTAAATGAATCACTGTATTTTGTGAGTCACAAAATACAGTGATTCACTGTTATTGTATTGGGGTGCCAGAAGAGATTGCAGAATATTAAATGCTTTTGGAACTGATTTTAAAAAAAGCTGATGCAATTTTACTTTTTACTGATCAACTTAGTCAAAAAGGAGATATAGATGTCTCTTCACAAGGGCATGGAAGCATTTTCTGTTTGTGTTACCACTACATATGAAAGAGCATGAAAAGAAAAGATTAGAAGTTGCACTTCTTCATATCAAAGTGTGAGAAGCAAGAGAAGTGATTCTTGATTAGGAATTGATCATAAAATAACTATGTCCTGGAAAGGCAAGTAAAAAATAAGCCCTGGGAAAAACCTAGAGTCACTTGCCTTTCTATCCGATTACTGCTGAGGCATTTTGTCAAGGGCACCATAACTGAGGCAAATAATTATTTTCTGCACAGGCTAAGGGCTAAGTACACCTTTGGGCCACTGAAAGTCTTTCAGTGGAATTTTGACTTCTATCCCAAAGGAGGATGTTGGAATTTACCTCCTGATAACAAAGAATGTACCTCAAGGTTTTCTGTTGCAAATATTTTGAAGAAACCCTGTCCTTTGCTCAGGTTACATAAACATGGGAAATAAACAAGAGTGCCTTAAAGGCATGTTTAATTCTTCTGAAGTGTGGTAGTCTCCAGAAGGATATCACAGCGGGAATCACAATCACACCCCTTTGTTTCAAGGCTGTGACTACTATTCTTCTTGTTTACTTTTTGGTCTCAGCAATCATTAGCAAATCATCAACCAAATCAAACTAAAATGGTAATTGCCAAAGAACTAGTAGCAGAGACAAGATGAAAAGGTGATACTGAGCTAAACAGATGCAGTAAACCACATCTGACCTGGGCAGGATTTCACAAGGAAAAAGGCATGGCAAAGCCTTCAACATTCTTCTTCCACATACGTACAAACTATGGCACTAGGACCAGCATGGGAATAGAATGAGTATGCATACTCTACACTTGGACCAGTGTTAAAAGACTGATTGACTGATTACAAACACTGGGAGTTTGAACAGACAGCCCAAAATCTTAGCTGAGAACTTGCAAAGTAATGTGGCAGCATAGGAATTTTTTTTTTTTAAAGTAATTCCACTTGCATATTAACAAAAGATTTTGATCCCGTAATTTCACTAAATATAGCAGCATTCATACCTTGGTCTTCACTGTAATCTTCATGCACTCTATCCTCTGTTTAAAGAGAAAGAAAAATGAGGAGGAAAATTAATGGAATTTTAAGACAATAAATACACATAAACAATACAATACAATGTCAAGATTATTCGGTTAAAAAATATTTGAAACTATAGTAGTTCATACAGTAATGAAGTTAATAAAAGTGCAAAGGTGAAGATTTCTAACAGATCCTGTAGAAGAGCTGATTGATTTTCTGGCATCAAAAGATAAACTTAAAAAAGAAAGCAATATCAGCAGGCTTTCTTATACGGTTCATAAATATTCATAAATATTTTGATTCTGAATTATTTATAAATTATTTATATTTACAGCTAAATTCTACAGAATAATTTCAGCATCTACTTGTTATGGCTTACTTGCTTTTAAAAAAACTTAGAGATACTACTTTCTTCTTGACATCACACAATCAACAACATCTCTGGCATATTTAAATTATTTTTTATCCACAAAATCACTTCTATACAATTTAAAATTCCAATACCCATTCTCCTGGAAATTCAACCCTCAAAATATTATTCAGCCCATTTGGCTGACATTACAGTGATGTAGTACTCATGTAGGCTTTAGCATCATTTCCTTAGGAAGTTATTATGTCTACATTTTTAATTTACATTCTGAAAAAATATTACCTAGAAGCTCCAAAGTCTTGTGTGTTGTTGTGGTTTGTTTTCTTTGATTGATTGGTTTGGTTTGCTTTTTTTTTTTTGGTATGTGATTGTCTTGGTTTGGGGCCAAAATTCAGTGAATCTTCAATAAAAAGAAAGAAGATTTTTGGACTGTACCTGCATAATGTTCCACAGCATCTTCTGGCATTATCTCAGAGTCACCTTAAATAGAAATATTTAATATTTTATATTCCAATTGAATATTCATGCAACAGCTAAATAACACAAGAGAGCTTAAAAAGGTCGCATACTTAGCTCAAAAATGAAAGAAACAATCATACTGACTTAAGACTACAATATCTTATTTGAAAGTAACAGCTGAATTATAAAATACAGCCAGGAACTACACCATAAAACAATAAGTTTATGCATATTTGTATTTAGGCTTATAGTTAGGAATATAAGTATGTGTTGAAAAATCAATCCATTGATCAGACTGGGAAACTCCTGACAGAACAAAATACTTATGTAAGTATTTGTAGATTGGATTCATAGAGTACTGTGCTCACAAATGTAATGGTAACAGTGGCATAAAAATCAGGCCTACTTTAAACTATCTAAAAACTATTTGAAAACAAAACTGTGAAGAAACAGTCAATATGACACATCACTTTGTAGCACATTTTAAAATGTGTGATTTTATTATCATTTGAAGTAATGAAGATTTACAAACCTGGAGTGTCTGGATCGCTTACTCTCTCTTCCAAATCTGCAACATAATCATCTAAGGCTGTAAATTAAATATGAACAAATAAATATCTTGAAATTAAAAATATGAAATATCTTTAATATTTCATTGTTTTAATTTGTATCCATAATGAGTCTGTCAATGGCTAAATGTAGCTGCTTAGCTGAAAAGTGAAAAACTAAAACTCTATATACTGACACTTGCAACTTGACACATGGCAATCTAATGGAAGGTGTTGGGCCACTCTCTCTTCCAGCCTTCTGCTATACTCTCCGTAGGAAAACTATGTAGGGGGATAGAATATAAGAAAATAAAGATAGTGTAAAAAGTAATCTTACCCCTAAAGAGTTGCAGCTGAGCCAATTATCAAAGATTAGGAACAGGCTGACTTTAACAGGCCACAGCTGTAACCAATGAGAAGAAGAATGGTATAAAAGAGTGGGGTGGCTGCTTTGTGAAGAAGAAAGAGATAGTGCTTGGAGGAGCTGCCCACAAGAAACACCAAGAAGGTACGAAACTTTTGTGACAGGAGAAAACAGTATGGAACCCCTGTGATAAGACGAGAACAAAACTAGAGCAATGAGAGCCATTGGTCTCTGTCAGTATTTTTTAATATTTATATGAATAAAACATGCAAACATCCTCCATCTTCAAAATTGTGAAGTATCTTCTTTACTAATGTGCAGGAGGCTTCCTTGGTGATGGATCTATAGAAGGTGGGATATGAACCAGAAACTGACCTTGGACAATACATACTTTATTTTTGTCATCTCGGAGCAATTTACTTCCTTTCATTACCTAGCTAAATTTGGGGGCTATTTTCCTGTATAACTACAATTCTTTTCAATGTTGTTAATATACTCACTATGATGCATCTGAGAAAACACAGTAGCAAAGGTAGAGTAGCTTATCCTTTTACTTTGGAAGTATAATAGCTTGGATTCTAAACCAGTTATCCCATAAACAGTTTGGAAGAAATAGTTTTAGCTGTATGAAACAAATACAACTATTTTTCTGTCACACCTGTGACACCAAACACAACTGCAAAGTCTAGAGCTAACACTGAATCAAACATAAGAAGCCTGGTACAAATAGAATTCAATGTTTAATGTAAATGCAAGAGACTGTCCATACTGTAAAGAAACATGGTTAGAATTCTGAAGAAAATACTTATCAGACAGTAGGGAAATTTTAATATCCACTTAATGCTTCTTCATCATGGGAAAGATGAGCTAATGCCATTGTACATGGTATCAAGCATAACATCAAGATGACTATAAGGTAATCAGATTAGTCCAAGCCAAATTTCAAAAAGCTTTCAAGATTAATTAAGTTGTGCAGAAAGACAGAACAAGCATAGTTCAGAATTACATCCTAGCTGTTGACTCACTCTCTGATAGCAGAGTCAGCCACAAAGAACAAACAGTCCTGAAGGAAAGGTACAAAAAACTGGATGCTCCTAATGCCAAGAAAAATATTCTAGAAGAACCTTAGTAATATAGACTGTCTGAAGACAATATAAGCAATAAATCTAATCTCTCTTTTTAGACTGTACAACCACAGATCATTTGCCTACCTAGTCCCCAATAATAGATAACAGCCAGGAACACATAGTAAATAAAATGTTTTTGCACCAATGAAAGCAGTTTCCATACCTGTCATCTGTTTTTTGTAATAAAGATCTTCAACAGCAAGTATGATACAGTCATCTCAAAGCAAAATTCTCCATGACAAAAACAACTAGTTATTGAGAGAAAAAGACCAAATTCAAAAGGATCTATTTCTAAACCAGTCTAACCTTTTCTATTTTTCTCTCTCATATAATTTGTTATATTGAGGCAGAAAACCATTATTACCGAGTACAGAAAAACAAAATGATACCTGGAATTTCGTATGATTCAGACTCCACTGCTCCAATATCTTCCACCATAGGATCAGCATCTGAGAAATAAATACATTTGCACAAATTTTAACGTTTTTTAAATCAGTAAACAATAACACCAATCAGTAAACAATAACACAGATATTATGTAAGAACAGTAATATTTCTAAGCTGTAATTCTAAGCAAATTTCCCCTAATGGCAGCAGGATATGTATACATAGACTGAAAAAAAGTTACTATTTTGTTTATATACAATATTGAGAATGTGTATATATGAATAAACTCTATACTCATTTTCTCAAAAAAAGAAGACACTCCACAGAAATTTCTGAATAAATTGGAGGAAAGAAGAATATATTTATTTTGCCTTCTTAATTGCAAAGACTTAAAGTAAATGGAATTTGAATTTCTCCTCTAGTCAAAGTCTTCTACTTTGACTTGTGCTGTGGGATGAGTAAGAGATACAGAGACAAGGAGGCTTAATAGACTCTGACTGAAGAGTTTGCTTGTGAAGAAAGAATCTCAGTGCACTTCCAGGCATCAAAACTTTTATAATGACATCGATAACATGGGTTTTATCAAAAGGTATCAAGAGATATTAAGAGATAGGTAAAAATTTCAACAGTACAAATAAAGAGCATTCAGAAAAATTTCCCCCTAGTTGGATTTAGATCATATAACTGCTTTAATATTTTGACTTCAATTTTCATCATCCAGTAAATGCCCCAACGTGACAAAATAGGAGCATCTTTATATGATGTATTCATCTCTGCAGGACTTAAATATAATTAATGCTCTTAGGGAGCCATATTTGAATGAAAGAAGAATGAGAATAAAGTATAGAAAAGACAGTGTTAATAAACTCAAATTCAGTTTAATAAACCCAAAGGTCCAGAAGCAGACTCCATACAGGTTTTACTGATGGGGAATGAACAGATTGAGAGCAGCCACACCAAGAAGCACTTGGGGGTGCTGGTAGATGAAAAACTAGACATGGAACTCATCTGCAAAGGTGTGAGAAAAGGCTGAGAACTGAGGTTCAGCCTGGAGGAAAAAATACTCTGGGATGACCTAACTGCAGCCTTTCAGTATCTTAAGGGGACAAAGAAGCTGAAGAGGGATTTTTTTTACAAGGGCATGTATTGATTAGGAAAGGGGTTTTGGCTTCAAACTGAAAGGGAGCAGGTTTAGATTGCATATAAAGTAAAACTTCTTCACTGTCAGGGTGATGAAGCACTGGAACAGTGCTTCAGGAAACAGTTGCCCAGAGAAGCTGAGAATGCCTCATTCCTGGAGTGTTCAAGGCCAGGCTAGATGGGGCTTGGAATAATCTGGTCTAGAGAAAGGTGTCCTTTGTGCCAGAAGGGTTAGAACTAGGTGATCTTTAAAGCCCCTTTCAACCAAAACCATTCTATATGATTATATTCATATCTCTACTGAGAAGAGATATGCATATTGGAGCACAGAATAATTTTGTTGAAAGCCCATAGAGTAGCAATTAATAATATACAATTATCTGGATTGCAAAACACATAGCAATAAAATATCCCATTTTGACTTAAAATATATGCATTTGCTAAATAATCCTGACACTTCCTAAGGCTCTGTTGAGACTTCCTAAGGCTCTGTTTTAAGCAGAAATTACAAGTCCAGGTTTTAATGAGACACATTTTCATTTGTTTAGTTTGGGTTTTCTTTTATAGATTTATTTTAAATGTATTTAGTCATTCAAATACCTTTCTGAACTGAGTCTGGTGTCTCATATGCTTGTGAAATTTCAGTCTCAAATTCTCTGAGCATGTCATCTGTTGCAGGAGCTTCAAAAGTTTCTCCATGTATTTCTTCCTTTACTTGCCACTGGTCACTTACACTTTCATCTACGTCTTCATGTCTCTCTCCTAATCAATAATGCAGATTGTTAGTGAATAAATTGAATACATTCTCTTTGGTATATTCTATTACCAGCAAATATTCAGTCCTCAGTACACCCTTTGTGCTTTCCAGCTAGTCTCCAAAGGGAATGGGGAGTTACAGAAAACTTATCTGCACAGTCCAGCATTAAACCCAACTTGCCAGGACCTTCTTTGCTCACCGTAAAGGCCAACTCTGCCCTGTCCACTCTTGCCCTCTATACAGTGTTTTGAGGAAGCTTTTGTTAAATAAATGATTTCAGCTATTACTGCCAAACAAGTCTGGGTAAGAAGACACAGTTTTAAATAAAATGGTTTAAAATAAAAACGTTTTAAATGTTTTAAAATAAAAAGTTTAAAATAAAAAAAGCTTTTGTTAAATAAATGATTTCAGCTATTACTGCCAAACAAGTCTGGGTAAGAAGACACAGTTTTAGGATTTGGACTGAACTCTCTGAATTGTTTTGAAAATTACAAATGAGCTGATTTGAATGCTTTATGCAGGCAAAAGTGCTTTAAGTGCATACCAAAACCAGACTCTGAGATTCATCTATCCTATGGCAGTATTTATAAACTCTTCAGTGGTTTCTAAGTGTTAATACATTACCAGGATGGGAATGGAGAGCTTCATGAAGAACAGATTGAATCTCCTCTTCCAATTCTATGTCAGCAGTCTTGTGCTCTAAAAGGATTATAAATTGCAGTGAAGTTAAGCGCAAAAGGCAAAATCTAAACATTAACTCAAGGCTTGCAGCTTTTAGTAGGCTCCATAATGTTTCACTTTCACAAAGTTCCCTAGAGACTGACCTGGTGAACCTCTGCAACTCACACAATTAGAAAAACAACTTTGTCTTGCTTATTTTCCAATATAGAAAGTATGCAACAATCGCATCAGATTCGTCCATCTGAAGATGAATTGGAAGAATTTATCTACACTGCATTTTTTCACATATATTTTTCCAGGGGTAGTAACAACATCAGGTAACTACTCAAACCAAGAACTCTCTTCTAAGGAATTAATTTACTAATACTTTCATCCATTATCTTCCAACAATTTAGGCAGCAGCACTAGGAAGTCATATTTGACAACAAAATGTGAGTTGCAGAAGTAGGGTCCTGTCAACTTTATAAACAGGGAAAATAGATACATTACAGTATCAAGGTCTTGTTCTGCTACGAACTGCCAGCAGAAATCACAAACTGGTTTCATGGACAAGTGATTGCCATCCAACACACCAGCTCAGGACATAATAGGAATTTGTATGAAGTGTTGTCTTCATATAAATGTCCTGAAATCAACATTGAGAAACCCTACAATGACACATCTGACAAAAAAGCTGTAAACCAGGTAACAGCTGCATTTTCAAATAAGGATCCAAAATGGCACCAGTTACGAAAAACGGTCCCACAAAACCAAAAACCACACACACATAAAAAAAACCACCCAACCAGGAAACCATATCTTGATATATTTTATAATTTATATCCTAAGAAAAGTAATGCAAGTCTTTTGAAGCAAAATCTATATTCCATAGATTCCACTGGCCATATGCTCCAAATTTATATATTTATGTATCAGGTTCACATAAACATCACATAGGATAAGCCTCTTCAATAACGTGGAAAAAACATGTACTCTTTGAATAACACTAATGCAAATCACTCATGTGAAATGTGACATGTAAAATATTTATTCTTGAATCCCTCTAAATGGTAATACCTTCCACTAATAGTATAGGGCTTTAAAAATGTCTAGATTATTTTTTTAACAGTAGGAGCTCCATTTATTGTATTTATTATATATTAGTAGTTTTAGCAGAAAAGTGAATACTTTATTATCTTACTAAGTTGGTTGTTGAGAGGGTTTTGTTTTTTTTTAAGGTGAAGAATTTGCTGTTATTCTGGCTGGATATAAGTTGGAAATCAATCTAAACCACAACCATACATCATCAGAAAGTTATTCTGATGTGATACGCCTACAATAGTAACCATGAAATTTTACAGTTTTCACGGTCAGTGATTTATACAAAGTTATAAACAATGATTCCTGTTAAATAAACTTCAGTAAAAAAGCAACACAAAATCTATAAAAGAGTTTGCATGTTAATGACACAGAACTATAGTTCAAATGAAGTATCATGTCTTTTGTTTAGTCTAAAATTGACAAAAGGTCTTACCTGATTCGACATATGACTTTTCAGCAGGCTGGACAGTCTCCTCAGATTCTGGTGATGCTGGCTGTGCTGGGACAGATCTTTCTTTAAGGCCTGCATTTTTCAGTTATAAAGTTAACTTTATGCCCTTTTTGAACTGATTCAGTTATAACATAAGAAAGTTCTTTCAATTAAATTAACTGATGTTACAGTCTCCAAAAATGCATTCAAACAATCACAATTACAGGGTTGTCATAATATACAGTGATATACAAAAAGACTAAAGCATATTCAGATAGTAAACAAAGATGTTTAGAAGACAAACATAGAATGAGGAGGTAAAAAGGGACAGAAATTTAAGCACTTGCTTTTATTTCAAAGTAACTGAACAAATGACTATGGTATTCTCAACATTTATTCAGTATCCAGTAAAAAAACGGGCAGCAAATTTTTCTCTCTGTTTCTGCCCTAAAATAAGTGGCAAAAAGTGCTTCATATGATAAATTTCACAGGTTCTATGAAGAACTAATTTGAACTTTACAAAAAGCTGCACATAATAAGAATTACTTAAAATTCATGTGTTACATCTTAGAAGATGTGATTAAGATTAGTTTGACAACTAAATGACTATCGAAAAAGTATGACTGATGCAATTTTATCACTAAGATTGTGACTATATCACAGTCTCTTTCTAGATCAAAACACAATGAATAGAAAGCAATCAATAAATGTAACGATCAGCACCATCATCATGGCAGGAGATAAAGATACAGCTGTGCTAGATCATGTCTCATCTTAAGACACCATATGGTCAAGAATGTGTTGGTATTAGACTAATTCTCCTCTCAACTCTCCTTTAAGAGGGTTCAAGCAAAACTTCTACAAGAGGTTCAGACTGGGCATAAGAAAAAACTCACACACCCACAACCCCCCTCCTCTATGAGGGCACTGAAATCAGTGGAAAGGACTGCAGAGAGGCTGTGCATTCCCATCCTTGGAGGTTTGAAAGACCACACTGGGAAATGGCCAGAGCAACCTGGTCATTCCTCTGAAATGACCCTGTTTTGAGAAAGATGTTGGAATAAGGATCTCCCAAAGTCCCTTCCAAATGGCATTTGCTCATAATCCTACATCCAAGGTCAATTAAGGTAAGACTCCTTTCTCAACAAACACCACTGCCCAAAGCAAACTAGTTTTTCAACAGCTGTATACATGGAAATTAATAGAAAAGATAGAACGTAAGAAAGCAGAGGATAAACTATAATGAACACTCCTGTAGTACTAGCAATCTTGTAAGAGCAACTCTTAAGTGGATAAATATTATATTTCAAGTAAGTACAATTAAAAAATAGTAATTACCACATTTCTATTGGAGTCAAACATATCTCAATGCAAATTGGACTAATATGTCTCAAACCAAATTTGTGTAGAGATATAATTTTATGCATTGTGAGAAAAGCATGTATTTATTTCAAGTAATGGTGACAGGACAACAGAATCAGGTCTATCTTATTATTTAATATTATTTAAATAAATTATTTTATATTTATATTATTATTATTTAAATTTCAATTATTTGAAGATGGGTAGTTGGGCTGCATCCCAAAGTAGTGTAACTAAGAGTCCACCACTTTGGAGTCAAAATGAGAAGCTAAAGAAAAATGCCAAATTTACACTTAATTTTTGGCCAATTTTCTTCTGTCATTAAAAAACCACCCACTTAGAATATTAAAATATATTATTAAGACATATTAGAATTATTAGAATATTAAAAAATATTATTAAGACATTCATCTTTTCCTGCAGGACTATTAATGGCTACAAGAGTAAGAAGTTACTTCCTTCTACAATCATCTTAGGATGGAGACAAAACTAGTAAGTCATATTAACTGCTCTCACACTCCAGAATCCATAAGCATGGAAACAGCCACCTTGCTTTCACAAACACAGTTCAGTTACTTTACACATACACTGCTTTAAATAAGTTTTTGTATCCTCAATAAGTCACCCCCATGTTCAGATCCACATACTCTGCTTCATGAACAAAAATGAATTCAAAGCATTTCAAAAGACAGCCAATACTCCACACCAAACAAGAACTATGGGTACTTAACAGGAAAGAAGGAACCAACAAGTGTCTTTGTTTCACTTGCACATTTCTCAATTTAACCTTCAAGCTTTTTATACACGTCTATTGTGCTTAACACTGATTTCTATTCAATCTTGTCAAGTAGGTGATATACCAAATAATTTACTTTTTGTAAGATATTATTTTCTCTCCTCTGTTTATTAAAATTGCATTTAGCTTTTACTTGCCTGGTGCATTTTTTGAGCTAATGTGGTGACTTGTTGCATTCAGTTTAATGACAATACTTCATAGAGATATACAACAAGACAACAGATGTCTGGAGCAAAAATACTTTATTTTGTGGCTGTCTGTAAACCCCTGAGTGCTGCTCAAATAAAAGTTTCTTTGGAAAGGAAAAAAAATAAAACAACCCAATCTTTCCAGAACCACATAAACTTTGGGTCACAGATACAATATGTTAATCAGAACAGCAATTCATTTGAAATTTCACTCCCACACAGCTAAAAGTTCTGGCACATTACAGGAGAAAATAAAAAGTGATGTGCACCATACCATTGTGCCACCGTCCTTGAGAAGTGTGATTTGAATGCTCCTCTGGTCAAATAGGCATTTTAACACTTAGCAAAGCAAGGGTAAAAAGTATATCTATCATCACCAAAACCTAACAGAGAATGTTCATTATGAAGGTGCATTTATTAGATCTTCATTCTCTCATATTTTTTGCTAAGAATTGTAATGTTCACAATGCACATCTCTTCCGTCCCCCCTCATGAATTTATAAGTATTTAGAATATACCTCAGAGTAAATCACCTCTGTTAATTATCACAGCCAGAATCTTAAGATACTGTACTGTTTTCTACAGCTTTAATTTGAACTATTTTTCACAACTGCTTGAAGGTTTCATTTTCTCTAAAAAAAAAAAAATCAAATCATCTTTAACCTTATTATCACATCTTAGAACTCTAGTGATCAAAGCATGATGCAGACATATGTATGGAACGGCTGAGCGAAGTGTATTGCCAAGTGTTATACACAAAATTTTAGCAAAACCAAAAAGAGAATTAACCTTCAGGACTTCAATCTTAAATTACCATCCACATGCATATATATACTCAATTTCACTCCTTTGTTTTGTTTTCCTGAAACTTACACTGCAGTACATCAAGAAACAATCTTAAACTTCCATTACAAATGTTGTTCTGAATCCTGTGTAATTATATTGTGCGCTTCCATACCATATACTTGCTTTCAAATTCATTTGGAAAATATTCATTTCTAGACAAATTTGACAGCAACCATAGATTGAAAATATTCTGAAATCTCTCTATTATCTCTGCAGAAATGTTTTTGCAACTTTATTTACTCTAATGAGACTGCTGAATAAATCCTTCATTGATGCTGAAAATACAGAAGCTGTAAGAACAAACTAACACAAGATTTTGCTTATAGAAGCATCATGCACTTGAAAGTGTTGAAGAAGATAATAGCTGCAAAATACCCAAGCTGTTCTCTAAACAAGTTCAACCAGAATAGAGTAGTACTAGCATATCACATCTTACATGTAATTGGAATACAACAATACTTATCAATGATGAAATAGATGGCCTAATTTTCATCAGTATTCCTTACCAAAAGGCTGTCAAACTTGGAAAAAAATCAGGACACAGTTGAATAAAAAAAGTGATAATGAATCAAGATTTCCAACACAAATATAGAGAAATAAAATAAGTAAATAGAGAATGGAAGAAAACCAGAAACATATTGTCATGGGATCAAAAGACAAAATGTAGGAACATTTTGATTGAGTATACCCTAAGGTCTCACAATAAAGTGCAACTCTGAAGTTGGTTTGACTATTTGTGTACAAAATAGTTTTTTCAGGAAAAAAAAACAGTTTCCTTAGGGAAAGAATTTGGCAGAGAATAAGTTACATTTATTGGGTTAATAATGGACACTACAGTCCACAAATGCACCTCTTGGTTGTTTCTGTGAAATAGAAATATTTTATGAGTTTCCACTACATGTGTCCAGATAAGCCTGTTAATATTGCTTCTAAACTGGCATTTTATATAGAACATTCGACTTTCATCTCCACATCAAGCAAATGCAAGTAAACACGGAAAGAAAAAAAAACAATCAGAAGAGCCCAATCCCATATTTAGAGTAGACTTGAAGTAACTGGCATCAATCTGACATTTGAATGTTTTCAATACACATTGGTAGCCAGGCACATTAACACATGTACATACTTGAGTTTCACAGCAGATGTTTCTGCTTTGTGTTTATAATATCAGTACACACTGAACAGTTTTTAAAAAAATATTATATATAGCCTTTGTTCACACTTATTTCCAGAAAACATTATTTTCTTATTGCCATTTTTACTACATTCATATATAATATGCTGAATTTTACATTCTTGAGGTCTGTTCCTCATTAGCAGAATAGGAACTCTTGTTTATTTCTTTTCTTTCTTGTCTTCCTTGGATTACCTTTAACTATCTTTTTTGTTTCTTTGTCTTTTCCCCACCTGAACGGTGCCATCCTTTTCACTGGCTGATCTTTTTGTAGTCTCCTTGGATTTCATACTTTTGTCTAGGCCTTTTTCCTTTCCTCTGTCTCTTTTAGCCTTGTCAGAATCTTTCTTTAATTTATTCATATCAACAGCTTTCTTGTCCTTTTGATCAGTGGCATCTTTTCCTTTCCTGGTTTTCTTTTTTTCTTCTTCATTTTCCTCCTTTTTGGATTCCTGCTTCTCCCTTAACTTCTTGAGTGATTCTTTAATAGCTTCTTTTACTTTTTAGTTTTTCATTTAAAAAAGAGGAAATGTTCAATAAGAGAACCATTCTTAGGCCAAAAAACATCTTATGAACAGCCATGTAGAAGCTTTGATCAAATTATTATTTAATGTTTGTTAGATTTAAACTTGTATAGTTAACTCCTAAGCTTTAAGCAATTTAAACAAATTAGTTTTAAACTTTTAGGAACATCTCACACCATGCAGCCAGCAAATAACCTTGGCTT